ACCGTTAGGCCTTAATACGAGGAGGGTGCAGCGGCGTGCGGATGGAGCGACGTGTGGATGGAGCGGCGTGCGGATGGAGCGGCGTGCGGATGGAGCGGCGTGTGGATGGAGCGGCGTGCGGATGGAGCGGCGTGCGGATGGAGCGGCGTGTGGATGGCGAGGGATGTTTATAGGATGTCAAGGCACCGGGTTCATCGCGTTTCATAGAGAAACGAGGAAATGGAGCTTCGTAAGTTTGGGTCCAGACGGACTCATGCGATTCGCATCTGTGTCTGCTCTCCGCGCAGATTCCTCCAGGATGATGTTCGCGACGTGGTGGATCTTCATCACGGTGATCACGGCGTTCTACACGGCGAACCTGACGGCCTTCCTCACCCTGGCCAGCTACGACATCCCCATCCAGACCATCAGGAACATCCCAGAGCACGGCATGAAATGGAAAGCCCTCGGGAAGGGGGCGCTGGAGACGCTCATCAGGGTGCGTGTGCATGCGGGGAGGGGGCGGGGGGAAACGGGGGAAAATTGGAATTTTTACATTCGTATTTTTCCGCACGATCGATTCGCGAGAGAGAGAGAGAGAGAATGTCCTCGAGCGCCATACACCTTAAAAGAGGACGAGCTCGTCGGTGAAGATGCTCCAATGCTCATTTTCGGGGAGTCCATTGTCCCGCGAACAATGGCCTTCGCCTTCATGTCATTATCTTGACTCGTATAAATCGATTCCGGCCCCGACTTTACGTGTCTCCATGGCGACCTTTCCATGCACGAGCACACATTTATGCCGGACGGTGGTGGCTTCATTCTCGACGAATACCAGATTCATTGGGACGGATTAAAAGATTTTTTTATTTACAATTATGCTCTTGATACAAGCCCTTCATTTTTGTCCTTCATGTGTGCCCTCGAATTCCCCCCGCCTCGCAACACCACGAATTCCGATTTCCGCCCTCGAATCCTCCGAACATCTCGCATTCCTCGACCCGCAGAAAGGAGTCGACTCGAACGGGACCGGCTCCGACGTCGTGGATCCCTTCCGCCCCATCCGCGGCGACAACATCGACGACTGCTTCGCGAGCGAGCCCCAGCCCTCCGCTTCCACGCTCGACAGCGTCGCCGCCGGGAGTGAGAATCGATTTCGATCAATTTTTCGGGTGGAATTTGTTGAATTGAAATTTTCCTAGATGTGAATTAAGTTGAATCGATTTTCGTGGAATTTAAAATTTTTTATGAGACTAAAAACTACATTTTAAGAAATTCTTAAAATCATCTTCATTTTTTCACGATCACTTATAAAAATATGATAAATAATGCATAAAAATAAACATAAATGGATACTTCGTCGTTGGCCTGCTCTGAGCTCGGTCCTCGCCCCTCGAACAGCCCACGTCTACATCGACGACAATGACGTTCTGCGGTACGTCGTGGTGTCCGACTACAAGACGCAACGGAAGCGCAACAGTGAGGCGAAGAGCTGCCGGTTCCTGGTCAGCACTCAGACGATCTACACGTATAATCTTGGGTTTGCCTATCCCCTCGGGAAGCAGGGGATCCGGGACGCCTTCGATCCCTTGTGAGTGCCCTGGGTCGTAGGGGTGGAGGGAGGGAAAGGAGGAGGAGGTGGGGGAGGGAAAGGAGTGGAGGGAGGGAGGTGGGCGAAAAGAGGGAAAGGGGAGGAGAGAATCGATGGGACCACACGAAAACGTCATTAGTTAGTCATGAGTAGATGATAAATACGTGGGCTGCTGATGAGATAATACAGTACTTTCGTCTGACTTGCGTTGGGAATTATATATATGTTTGCGGACAAAGGTCGTACGGATGAGCTTCTCCCGCTCGCGAACTCCTTCGACGTCGGGAGAGGTTTTTTCCCCGTTTCGAGTCGACGGTGAAACGCGGGTGTCTCTTCCTCGCAGCATCCGACGCATGATGGAGTCGGGCCTCGTGACCCAGTGGGGGAAGAAGCCCTTCCCCGCCGCCCCAATCTGCGGGCTGCCGACGGGATTCCAGGAGAGATCGCTGCAGAACACGGACCTGCTCACCACGTATTACCTGTGCCTGTACGGGTTCGGGGGAGCCGTGCTCGCCTTCGTCATCGAGAAGATCGTCCGCAAGAGGTGCCGCCGATACCTTAAGAAACGACAGGCGAAACAACAGGCGAAACACCAGGCGAATCACCCGCCCGCCCCCGCGATCTCGGGCGTGCCCACGATGCGTCGCATCTTCGTCCCCCGCAGCGGCGTCCCCACCCCCCTCGGCACCCGCGTCCCCCAACCCCCCAACGCCATCCCCATCCTCCCTCCCCCCTACGTCCCCCCTCCCTCCATCTGGGACTACGGCGGCCCCGACAAGAACCTCCAGCCCCTCGCCGCCCAGTCCGCCAAGAGCAAACTCTCCATCGGCGGCGTGAGGATCTTCGGCGACGACCCCGACAACGTCGTCTACAGCATCAACGGCCGCCCTTACGTGATCGTCAGGGACAAGGACGGCTTCGTCCGCGCCATGCCGGCCGAGAAACTCAAGAAGTGAATCGAATCTTCACTTTTATCGGTCGTCGAAGTAAACGCGAAATAATGGGAATTAAAAAAAAAAGAAAAAAATATTTAATTATTGCAGCCAGCAATTATCACTCTCTTCTTGGCAACCGAATAAAATTTATTCCCTGAAGCAGCATGTCACGTAGCGTTTCGGAAGCTGAGAACGTTCTCGGGTCGTAGGGACGAGAACAATGCACCTCGATGTGGATATTATTTTTTAAATCTCACTTTTTTGGAGGAAAATGCCAGCGAAGACGACAGCCCTGCATGTGCCTTTAGCAAATTAGCAATAAACGGGAATCTGTCACATGAGGAAAATCGAGTCCTTTCATTCCGCGTGCGGCCCTTCGCAACGAGACGGTTCATGTCATGGGGGGTGGACATGATCCATGACATAGGGGAAGACATGGTCCATGACATGGGGGAAGACATGGTCCATGACATGGGGGAAGACATGGTCCATGACATGGTGGGAAAGACACTTTGTCGCAAGCACATGTCGAGAGCGATAAGCCTGGTACGGCCCATAGCAGAATTCAAAATGTTTCATTTACTAAATTAAAAATTAAATTAGTTTACATTTATGCAAATCATGCAATTTGGGTGCGACGCCTCCACTGTGGGCTGTCTGCCGACTCAAGCGATCTCCGTGCTACAAGTTTCCTCCATCGAGAGAGGACAGAACTCGTAGCGCTCTCTCGTGAGCGCGGGTGGCGCACGACACCCAGAAGGATCAGATCTTGTCCCTTTTCGGTCTCGAAATCGAGACGGTCAGGCGCTCCTTCACGCTAGCGAGATGG